TTCCCAATGAAAGGACAGACCATTCCAAGCTTTTACTTGTTGTTAAACAAATGTTTAAACAACTCTATTCAACGAGCTTTATTACATAAATGAAAACCATTTGTTGGTGGATGTAATTCACTTTTGTGTGAACAAGGATATCTGTTAGAGTTCTGCTTTTTTTGGAACGAAGACAACAGGAACTTCAGGAAATATCTGTTTGAGGCGATCATTCTGTTGTAGGAGATAAAAATGTTTTTTCAGAATTCATGAAACATTTCTGAATTTAAGCTGATAGGCAATAATAAGAGCAATTCTATTTGAAACTTTAATATTGTTCTGTTTTTCGGATGTTTTTGCTCTGAGTGTTGTTAGCGTTTTCGATCTGTCTGTCAATTTTGGTATCTTTATATCCTCTTTGTAACATGGTTTGTTTTAGATCCTTGTTGTCTGTTTCATCTGAGCATATTGTCTTTATTCTAAGAGCTTGACTGTAGGTAATGTTCTGGTTAGCTTGAGGAGGGTGACAGTTTTTATACTGAAAGTATTGTGGTTTGTCTTTAAATTTTTTGTACAAGTTAATGTATAAAATTCTGTCATTTATAAAAACAGTGACATCAAGAAAGTTAATTTGGGTAGACCAGTAATCAAAGGTAAACTTGATTGTTTTGTGAAAAGAGTTTGTATGTGAGATAAATTCTTTAAGTTGTTTAAGACTGACTGTCCAAATGTCATCTATGTAACATTTTCATGTATGAGGTTTCACAGGGCTTAGTTGTATGTAATGGCCCATGTACGAGGTTTTACAGGTCTTAGTTGTAAAAGATGGCTTTCAATATGACCCATAAAAATGTTGGCATAATTGGGAGTCATTTTGGTACCCATTGCAGTACCGTTAACCTGAAGGTAATATTCGTTATTGAATTTGATGTGAGATGTCAATTAATTAAATAAGTTTGATTGTTGGAAAGAAATTTTTCAAAACACATTCATGGACACAAGATTTGGCCAACAGTACTGATATACATAAAAAAAATTAAATACAAAATATCGGAGCTTGCTAGATGGAGTATTATTTTAAACATTTCCAAACAGTGATCTACAGAAAGGTTTTAAAATATATTTTTTTGTATCATTCTGATACTGAAAATAAATAACAGGTGAGATAATGTATTTTATTTCTATTTTTCCTAATTATGTTAAAACATGAGTGCTCTCTACAAGAAATTTCATTTGGATTGAATAAATTGGGGTCGGTTTGCATTTAAAAGTTTAGGGAACTTGGTTCACCTGTTGCACTGTTTCCAGAACACTGTTCCTCAGAACTTCCCAATGTAAATTATCTCCCAGATTCAACTAGTGGAGCTAGGGTGTCCTTACCAAACCTAATGCTAATGTCCACAAATGTTCAGATTGTGAGTCAATTTTCACCTTTGTTTCCTTAGTTTACAACATATTTGTTGATGCTAATGTATATATAATCCACAGATGTTCAGATTGTGAGTCAACTTTCACCTTATTTGTTTCCTTAGTTTACAACATATTTGTTGATGCTAATGTATATATAGTCCACAAATGTTCAGATTGTGAGTCAACTTTCACCTTATTTGTTTCCTTAGTTTACAACATATTTGTTGATGCTAATGTATATATAGTCCACAAATGTTCAGATTGTGAGTCAACTTTCACCTTATTTGTTTCCTTAGTTTACAACATGTTTGTTGATGCTAATGTATATATAGTCCACAAATGTTCAGATTGTGAGTCAACTTTCACCTTATTTGTTTCCTTAGTTTACAACATATTTGTTGATGCTAATGTATATATAATCCACAGATGTTCAGATTGTGAGTCAACTTTCACTGTATTGTTTTCTTAGGCTACAGCTTGTTTTTATATATAAATGTTTTAATTACTCTTCAAAGCTACTTAATGGAATGCATGTTTTTGTCTCATCATTCTAAAGCTTTTTTGTTATGTATTTTCTGTCCTTGTATTCTAAGCTTGTTTGCTAACACCATTTAAGGGCGTTTCTCATTGCAAGTTTTATTGTTGATGAAAACTATCTCTTGTAACATAAAATTTCTGTCTTTATCACTGTAAAAGATTTGTTTGTTGGCTGAATATTCTCTTAACTCCAGGGTCTGTAACTCATTTAATTTACTTCACTGTTAAGATGCCTTATTGTTTTTTGTACATGTTCTCTTTGTCCTGTACCAGTTATTGTTTTGTACATGTTCTCTTTGTACTGTACCAGTTATTGTTTTTTACATGTTTACTACTTCTGCCTTCTTACAGGTTGGATCTGGTAATATGTTTATCTGTAGGAGATAAGAGCTTACGTGTTAGAAACATGTGGTTCCAAGAAGAAATACCACAGAATGAGTGATGAGGCACTGTCTGATGACCACTTAGCCCCTCTCACTATAAAGAAAGAGACTTCACCTAAACAGCAAACTAATGGATTTAAGTTCACAACTGGTGATAGAAAGTGTGGACACAAGACTACTCGGAAGAGTCAGAGCAACAGTAGGGATGATAGTGAGGAGAGGGTTAAATGTAATGACAGGGAAGAAGCAAAACATATTCAAGAAAGGGCTGAAGAACATTATCCATGTGAGAGAGATTTTTCTTCAGTCACACCACCATGTTTTAATTGGAGTCGGGATATTTCCTTTTTGCTTCGAGACTTGGAGGGAATTAACTTGTTCAAAAAATTCCTCACTGAGGAAAACTGTCGTGAGTGTCTTGACTTTTGGTTAGCGTGTGAGGGAATAAAAAAGACCAACACCAGTACCAGCTACCTTCACCAGTTGATTCGAGTTATTTACAAAAAATTCATTAGGTCTGCTGTTGTGCAGATTAATCCAGAAACTCGCAAGGAAATAACTGACAAAATAGAACAAAAGCTTGGGTTAGAACAGTCAATTTTTGATAAAGCACAAAGAGATGTAGAGCAAGTGATGTCTCAGACTGTGTACCCAAACTTCTTGAAGTCAGATTTATTTCTTGGTTACATTCACTCATTACAGAATTATGGCCATTTGCAGTCTGAGAAGCACAGTTGTAGTTCTGGATCATCTAGTTCAACTGGCAGTGAGCCTGAATCTAGACAAGATACTCTGCCAACACTACACGAAGATACAGAGCTCTGTATAGAACAAGTTTCAAAAATGTCATTGTTAACAAGTGAAGCAGTAAAACCAAGAATGAAGTTAAGAGGGCGAACTGATCGTGTTCCGTACGAGTCTCATGCTGGGTGAGTTTCTTTTTCTGTGCTAATTTGTCAATGATATGGGTTTCTTTGAACTTTCTGAAAGTAAAAACATAATTAGATGATACATATCTACCTAGTAATGATGTGTGTGTTTACATTATATATTGTGGAAATAAAAACAGTGGCTAGATGTTTTCTCTAACTAGTAATGACATGTGTGTTTACATTATATATTGTGGAAATAAAAACAGTGGCTAGATGTTTTCTCTAACTAGTAATGACATGTGTGTTTACATTATATATTGTGGAAATAAAAACAGT